GGCAGCAGCGGCACCAACAGCTGCTTCCCCACGGGCCGAAGCAGCAGGAGCTGCTACACCCTCATCAGCAGCAGCAGCACCATCGTCCCCAGCAGCAGCAGAAGCAGCAGCAGCAGCAGCAGAAGCAGCAGCAGCAGCAGCAGCAGCAGCAGCAGCAGCAGCACAGAAGAACATCCCGCTGCCTTCTGACGGCAGCAGCCAGGAATCCCCCCAAGAGGCCTCCCTAGGTGTCCGCTCGGGGGGCCCCCCAGGGGCCCCCGCCTCCGGGGGGCCCCCAGGGGGGCCCCCCGGGGGCCCCCCGGGGGGGCCCCCAGGGGGGCCCCCCGGGGGGCCCCCCGGGGGCCCCCGCAGGGGCCCCTCCGCCAGCCCGGGGCTGCTGAGGCCCCGGTCCCCTAAAGTGCGCTCGAGGTCCACAAGTCCAAGTCCTTCTTCAAGTAGAAGAAGGCGAGACCCCAGCAGCAGCAGCAGCAGCAGCAGCAGCAGCAGCAGCAGCAGCAGCAGTAGCAGCAGCAGCAGCAGCAGCAGCGGCGCATGCAAAATAAACGTGGGGCCCAAGTTCCAAGCCCCGTACCTGCCCCCCTTCTTTCTTGCTGCAGACGAGGGGCCCCGGGGGCCCCCCGGGGGGCCCCCCGGGGGGGGGGCCCCCATACTTCCTGAGGACTTTGGGGGGCCCCCCGGAGAAGAGGGGCCCCTCGATGAGGGGCCCCATGGGCCCCGTCTTGTGTATTCGGCCTTGGCTTTGGGGCGCATAGGAGCAGCTCGTGCTGCTGCTGCTGCTGCTGCTGCAGCAGCAGCAGCAGCAAGGGGCCCGGGGCCCCCCCCCGCGGGGCCCCCCCCCTACGTCAGCAACGAAGCAGAACTTACCCTTTACTTAATGCATGCACCAGCCTCTTGGGGGGCCCCCTCGGGGGCCCCCTGTGGGGCCCCCAGGGGGGCCCCCCTGGAGGGTCTTTCCTCGCTTTCGGGGGGCCCCCTCTCCTGCGGGGGCCCCTCCTGTGGCTGCTGCTGCTGCTGCTGCGGGTGCGCCTGCAGGGGCCCCTCCTCGGGGGGCCCCCCGAACGGGGGCCCCCCCCCCTCTGGGGGCCCCTCTTGGGGGCCCCCTTCCTCCTCGGGGGGCCCCTCGGGGGGTGGGGGCCCCCCCTGTGAGGTGACCCCGTGCGGTGGGGGCCCCTGCAGCGTGGGGGCCCCCTCCTGGGAGGGGCCCCCCCCCTGCGAGGGGGCTGCTTGCGGGGCCCCCCCGTACGGGGCCCCCCGGGGGGCCCCCCGGGGGGCCCCCCGGGGGGCCCCCCGG